AGTGGCAGTAGAAAGGGGGGGGGGGGATGAAGGTAGGAAAGACAGGGAATCAGTTGTACTCCATGGGAAAAATCCAGAGGAAGTTACAGAATTTCCCGATTTCGTTGCTGTTGTTTAGTCGTTTAGTTGTGTCCGACTCTTTGTGACCTCATGGACCAGAGCACGCCAGGCCCTCCTATCTAACCTTAATTAATCAAGAGATGTCAAGCCATTTTCTCCTTATAGCAACCCTTGCCAGGATATCCTAGGTATTAAATACTGAGAAGCGGTTTATCAGTCCCTTCTTCTAAGGAACTCTATGAATGTGCAGCTCACTCAAGGCTACACAGGCTGGTCTCCTCTCAGGAGAGTGGAGAATCAAACTCATAACGTGACTTTGCCCCTGGATGTATATCCACACATATAAGCAACAAACCTGCACTGCGGGCTAAACCGCAGAGTCAGAAGACCAAGCAGTTGTAAGATCGAATCCACGCGACGGAGTGAACTCCCGTCGCTTGTCCCAGCTCCCGCCAACCTAGCGGTTCGAAAGCATGCAAATGCAAGTAGATAAATAGGGACCACTTCGGTGGGAAGGTAACAGCGTTCCGTGTCTAAGTCGCACTGGCCATGTGACCACGGAAGATTGGTTTTGGACAAACGCTGGCTCTATGGCTTGGAAACGGGGATGAGCACCGCCCCCTAGAGTCGAACACGACTGGACAAAAATTGTCAAGGGGAACCTTTACCTTTACCTTTTACCCTACTAACTATGCTGAAGAAACTGCTGAGATGTAGAATCTTCTTGAAACACTCTCAAGAGAGCTTGGAGAAATAATGCTATAGCTTGTATTTTCAGTTAATAAAGCCAAGAGAACCCCTGAACATGAGAATGGGAATATTCAGTGAAAGATTTTCATTTGACAACAATGAGATTTACCTGCTGTTTGATAGGGATAAACATTTAGCATATAGATTGTTAAGTCTGTCCCATAGATTTAAAGAATGTCTTGTAAAATATGGCAGGCTGGGCAAGAAATCATTTAAAATAGACTGAAACACCAAATCTATTTCAACCTTCTCGCCGGAAGGGTTTATAAAATCCCCTTTTCATTGACTTCACATTTTGATTTAAAAAAAAAAGCACTTGACAATTTCAGAAAGGAAAAATGTGTGCTGACCTCTCCAATTTCAAATGAATTGTTAATAACGCTTTTGCAGCTTCCAGAAGGTCATCATCTTGTTCTATGAAGAGCACAGAAACCCAAAGGCAAGGATGTTCAAACAGGTGCCCAGGTGGAGGAAACCTCAGGTACTTTTTCAAAAATCTCAACAGTGACCCCATAACACTCTCCAGTTGAACTGCAGGGAAGAAAAGGAGACAGGGAAAAATCTAATGTTGTGTTTATATTATTCATACATCACACCCTGACTTTTAGTCAACAATGGGAAAAGAGTTCTGAACATGTATTCTGCAAATGCTACAGAACGGCTGTTTTGATGAATATTTACTTTAATAAAAAAACATTGTAAAGGAAACACGATGGGAAACCTTTGCAGAGTTGTGTACCTCTGGGCAGAAATATGCCTCCTCTGGAAAGATGGGAACTACAAATAATGCCCCACTGCCATTTTCCACGTGGCAGAAGACTCAGGATCAGCAGTCAACCAACTACGAAACATTTATTATGAACTATTTACGCCATGCCTCCACCACTCAGCTCCCTTCACCAAGTAGAGGAATCAGCATCAGCCCACTGAGTCCCTTTTCTGGGGGCAGAAGAGTGTTACCTTCCCCACATCTCTCACCCAAAGAATCCAAGCAACAGTCAACATCTTTTGCCGACTGGCATAAGCATTTCAACTGCCACCCACCGCGCAAACAACAGGGTGCTGGCCCCAATTATTCCTCTGCCTCCCTCATCCTCCACCCAGTGGGAGATTTGCTTGGCAGGCTTTTTCCTGCCGTTATCTATTTTTCCTTCCTCTCTAGGTTTCTCCAATGTCCAGGGTCCAATAGAAAAGTGGTACTGAAGTGCAACTGGCCAGGATTGGGTAATGCCCAGGGAGTAGGGCTCCACCTGTGCCCACCAGGTAGCCTTCACATGGACATTTGGACAGCCAACTGGACATAGAGGTATATGCACTTCATGAGTGCCCAACCTCACCCATTCACATCCTCCAAAAGCTAGGAATGGCACACAACTGGCAACCCAGAGGTTAACGCAGTTGTGCCACAGGCTGCCAGTTTTGCACCTCATTTACTCGATGCCCTCTAGAAAGGCCAGCAAAATCTGGCCACCAACGTCCAGGGGAGAAATTACAAGCAGCACATTGATGTCTATTGCCTACAGCAGTGGTCCCCTACCTTGGGCCTCCAGATGTTCTTGGACTTCAACTCCCAGAAATCCTGGCCAGCAGAGGTGGTGGTGAAGGCTTCTGGGAGTTGTAATCCAAGAACATCTCTCTCCTTTTGGGCTCCCCTTCCAGCAGGGAACAGCTTGGGCCGCCTGAGACAAGGAAGCATAAGGGGCCATACAGAGTAACTCGATGTTTTGCTCAATCAAAAGAAGCCAACTTGAAACTCAGTCACTGGCGGTTCAACAAATGTGATAAATTGAAAGCCTAAGGCCTTGTTCTTCTGGTACATGGAAAACTAGTCTATAAAAATATAATTACTGGTTCCCAAAGAGTTCCAGCTGATCATTTCTTGCCTGTCTTTGTAAGAAGAAACTGTAGGTGGGGATTCTTTGGAATTTGAAGAAGTGTGCAAAATTGTGTTATATGCTGTTTAGAAAAAAATTGCATTCTCTAGGGGAAATTCAGTCGAGTATTACAACTTTCGTTCATTTCAGACACCCCATTTCCACCCCACCTGCACTGTGGAGGCTCTGTCACGTACACTCCACTGATTATGATGAAACTGCTATTTAAAACATTGAACATCATTTTAGTATGACAGGAAACTAACGGAGAAGTGGTACTGCACATGAGTCAGTGAGGGGGACCCAAACTCTGTCCATCCCCTTCTCAAAGTATCTTTGGTACAAAAGATGCTGCTGATAAGGCCATCAAACTGCTTGAAAGAAACTTATTACCTTGGATGTCAGCTTCAGAAGAAGAATCCTGGACTTTGATCTCTAAAGCTTTAAGCAGAAGCAGACTTAAAGCTCTTAAAGTCACTTGATCAGAATTATGACCTATGTCCACTTCAGGCTTAACTTGACTTCCGCCAAAATGGTTGGCTTTTCCACTAACAGACAACCTGTTCAGCCACCCAGAATTCACAAATTGCAGAACAGCACCAGCGAGCGCTAATCTATCAGCGTCAAAATGGGGGTCCTCGTGGGAAGGAGAAGGCCTCTTTTTCTTAATGACATCTTCACCAGCTTTCTGAAGAATGCATTTTTTGAGCAACATAATCGATTTCTTCTTGATCAAATAATGAACAGGCGCAGTGGAAAGTTCCAGGACACAAGCAGCATTTAAAAACATCATCCTTTGGCAGGAATAGTTCAGTGGCATGTGAATTCGGGAAGCCACAAGCAGTTCTAAGAGGTCTAGGAAACTGCTCAAGCCATTTGTGACTTTTGGTGACGTCGTGATGTCTTGAGGAAGATCAGAATAGTAAGACAGAACAGAGTTGTAAATGCCTTCCAGAATCTTGTCCAGTGGACTGAGAATCACCTTCAGGTCTCCTATAACAGAGGATGACCAGGATAAGAGAGTTTTTATTGCCTAGATAGTTCAGCTACTGCAGTAAACTGATCAACAGGGTCTGGAGTCCAGAGGCATCTAATGAAGTGGCCCAGTCTGCAAAAATATCTGCAGCTAAACTTTGTTTGATTTTAAGGTACCCTTACACTTTTTTTTTTTTTTGCTCGTGTAAGAAAAACAAAACAAAAGTGAAAACAGGAGACTATTTACTAAACCAAACCTTTTCTACAATGAAACAAATCGCTTCTCAATTTCTTCCATGAAAATACTGTACTTACAAAAGTTTAGTTTTCTAAATGACCAGTCTCTGGTTAAGATTCTGGGGTACTTAAGTTCTTCTAGTGTACAAATATACTCCTTTGAAATAAAAGGGAGTCATGTGGTCATACCAAAATACAAATGCAAGAGTAGGCTATGTCTTTATAAACCACTAAAGAAAAATTATATGAATTACGATGATGCCAAGAAATAGCCCAGGGATGGGGATGGCTGTAACAACAAGATGACACATGGACTCTCAAAATCACAGAAGACTCCAACTGCTAGGTAATGTTATTTTGACTTGGATCTGACCCCAGTTGTCTAAACCTAGTGTGTTTACTGAATTATCACCCCAATTCCCAGATGCAGGACTTGGGTTTTCTGTGCCCCTCACTCCAGCCGAGTAGACACATGTCCGTTTCAAAGAAAGGTGAAATGGGGAGGTATGTGTGTGCATGGCCTGTGTCTCCTTGTTTGAAGAACTGGGGTATGATATCCAATCCACAGCTACCTACTGTAACTTCAAAACAATAGCTCTAATGCAGCCTGCATCTCTCCAGATATACAGTGGTGCCTCGTACAACGAGTGCCCCGTTTAACGATGAATTCGCATAGCGATCTGAGCCGCGGTGCCTGGCGAGGAGTCCGGCCATGCCTCCCACCCTTCTCAAGCCGCAGGAGGTGGGGGTGGGGGTGGGAGGCATAGCCGGACTCCTTGGCAGGCACCGCGGCTCACATCCGGATCCCCCCACCCTCTCCCCGCAGCTTGGATCCGACCCGCGGCAGGCTACCCCATGCATGGTTGGACTCCTGAGAGTCCGACCATGGCCGGGGAAGCTGGCTGCGGGGAAGGGGAATCCCAGCGGTGGCCTCGAAAGGACCCTTCGGAAGGGTCCTTCCGAGGCTAC